AAACCCTTTTACAAAACCCCACCACCTTGGCTATCTTTGGGGATTTTTTTTTCCAGTTCCCAAATACCCACTTCAGTTTAAAGAAATAACAGTAGTAGACTATATCTATATATACATCTGTATAGATATAGTTATATAGTTACATAGATAAAACCACACTCTCACACTCACATGCAAAACCAGGGAGAGAACAGGATTTGAACTCAGGTACCGAAACCTCCTCACTCGCTCACACACCCTCTCTCTCACGTACATACACTCACACTCAAGATAAAAGCCAAACTGCAAGCCGCCCACTTTGCTGTAACAGCGGAGCCACTCAGGCCACTGTTCTCCAGATCTCAGGGAGTCCTGAGCCCACACAGTTAGATTAAAAAAATTTTTTTCTTTCATTTATGAGAGCATAACTGAAGATCTCCCAGTTTTGTAAAATAACAGCCTTAGGGAATATAAGGTGGAACAGAGCTCTGATCATTCATCCTCATTATTCACTGATGTTATCAGACCTCAAGCAAACAATAGTTCAGAACGGTCTCTCAGGGTCACAGTTCCTTAGACCCAAAAAGGGAAACTCCTGACCAGTGCCCCATCAGAGACAAAGCTGAATGGAAGACCAAGGCTAAAAAGGGAACATCCCGATGGATGCTCTGCCCCAGGCAAGGCCAACGCAAGAGGGAGGACACACAAGAGCCAGATGCTTAAAGACGTCTCAACTGGCCAGTGCAAGTGCTGACACACACACCCTAAACATGTTCCCATAAACAGAAGCTCAGATGAGATGTAGCCCCCCAATTCCACTTCCTCTCCCAGACAGAGGCTCCCCAGTGGCCCGGTTCCCAAAAGAGAACCGACCCAGCGTGGCTCCCAGTGAGCCCAGAATGCCCACTTTCTGGGAGGGAAGGAGCCCGGGTGGAGCGGGGACAATCTTCCATCCTGCACAGCCGGAGTGGCTCACCCCAAAACCAGACACACACACACAAACGGCAGGTAAGGTTTGGTCACACAGGCCAGAGAGGAGGTGTCGCCTAAAAAGTCCACTTCCACCCCCAGACGAGGCCTCCAGACAGGTAGGCCCAGCTGTCGGAGGGGCAGGGACCCGGAGGGGCTCACGATGAGCCCGGGGCGGCTCCCTTCCCGGAGGGACCGAGCCCAGACAGAGTGGGGAGGGTTCCCGGCCCGTGCGAGCTGGAGACGCTCACCCCCGGAGACACTGAGTGTGGATGCAGTTCCAGACGGTTCTTGGCTCCAAACAGCCTCGTCCCAAGGCAGACTTGAACTCAGGGAGAGTCCCTCCTGGGTCCCTGGAGCAAAGTGAGCTCCTGCCTCTGCTGTGACCCAGGGAAGGAGCTGCCCTCAGCCAGGGCCGACCCTCCCCAGGCTCAGGCTCCCCGCTGGCTTCCCCGAAACTGCCTGAACATGAGTCCATGTGCCCCATGCATGGTGAGGCCAAACAAGCCGAAATGCTGGAGTTTGCAGCAGAGAAACATTCACTGCTGAGCCGAGCAAGGAGAATGGGTGGCTTGTGCCCAAAACCCTAACCGCCCCCACCAACAGTTTCAGCTGAGACTTTTTAAAGGCTCTGTTGAGGAAGGGCGTCCCAGGGTCTGTGACCAGCTATGGACAGTTCTGATTGGTCGATAATGGTCAGTCCTTAGGTGCCAGGTCTGGGGTCATGTGCTCTTGATCATCATGTTAATTTCCCCCACCTGGTGGTGGTTTTCAGCATCTGAAAAATGCAGGAAATAGGCATGAGATACTGTTACCTGGGTCCTTCAGAGAGGAGCTGCAGCAGAGGACATGGGGGAGGGGTTTGTCCCAGGAAGGGCCCCCAGGTTCCTGCTGGGTTGCAGAACTTACTCTGAGAGGCTGTAGGAAATCTGCAAGTGGCATTGCTTGAATGCACATCCTAATTGTAGTGCCTGCTCCACTCTGCTCAGGGGGAGTTGCATGCAGCCTTATGGAGTCAAATTTTTCTTCGAACCATTCTTACTTGGCTGTTTTCCTTCTGGGGATTTGCCTTATTAAGCTATTAGAGTGGACAATAAAGGCATGTGAGTGTCTGTGTGGCAGCAGGCCACTCTGTTGGGATGGAGAATAAAGTGCCTTAAATGTCTTCCTTCCTTTTATCTGCCTTGGCTCAAGCTCCTGGCAGGGTAAAGGGTTCTAGGCAGCTATTGTGTGCCGGGCTCCAGTGGCTTTGGAAAAGCTGCTGACTTCCCAGGGAAAATCTATACTCAAATCAGATACATCGCTGTGTAATTGACGGTCATGTCCCTTTCCTCACTTCCATTTTATACTGTCTGGTACTCTGAGTCTTGTGTTCACGCTACCCTGGCAGTTTTTATTGATCAACAAAAGACAAAGATGGCTTTTGATTCTTACCAGATGATAGCAAATTAGGAGAGAGATCTATGGAAGATTATTTTGTCACTAAGGAGACAACAGGCTTCTTGAGTGTTATCTTTCCCCGGGGGCCCATTTTCTTGCCAAACTTTAGGGTCGAAAATACTCTGGTTTCTAAAAACAATAACCTAGTTTAGTGTTTGTTGTCATTACTAAGCGTGCTAACACAACCACTGGAGAGAATTATTGTCTCTCTCCTTTCTTAGCATCTCTCACGCTGAGATTCTTAGAGATAGAGAGAAATATACAGGCAAAGAAGAAGAGGACAGGGGTAGAGAGATTAAATCCCATCTCATCATTCGGCAGAGCTGCCCGAACCACAGATTTCTGTTTTCCAGACTTGAAAGGAAGGAGTGTATTAAACCACTCTGGTATAGCCCTTGTGGTGAGTCTAGTTTTTAGTTATTCCTAACAGAAGGCTCCCTTGGTGCTAATGTATTTTGTCAGAAATAAAAACCCACTTAACCATCCTTCGTGTGAAACTCTCCTACGTATTTGAAACAGTTGAGTTCAGATGGGTTTTTTTTCCCCTCAGAGGAAGGTGTTTCATTCATTTAACAGTTCTTTACCCAAAAGGACCTGTTCCGTGAATTCAAATAATTTCCCTTTTTTCTTAGATTTTCTCTGAAATTAACTCTTAAGTTTGTAGAGCCCTCAAATTAAATTCATGTCAAAAAGTACTTACTGCTCACCTGTCGTGTGAGGCACCAGGCCTGAGTGCTCAGGATTGGTCTTCAGAAAGCACATGTGTTATTACCCCTCAGGAGGGAGTTCCTTCTGTTAATTTATGCCAGGAATGCATAATGGAACAAACTTACCCTTTTTGTAGAAATTTCTTCATTCCTCGAGTTTGTTTTTTGGTGATGACTTAAATACCCTTCAGGTAGACCTTGATGCCAGCAGGTGTTTCCCCAACAGGGTGTCACGTGGGCCCACCCCAGCCCTGGGGGTAAATAGGACATGGACTGCAGCCCATTTTCCAGATGTGGCAGCAGAGGCTCAGAGGAATGAAGGGACTTACTGATTTCTTAGGGGCTGGGATGAAAATGTCTTCTGGCTTCTAGATCAGTGTGCTTTTCTCCAAACTAAGGGGTCTCAATGCTGCCAGATCCACTGCCCCCTTTCATTTCTGAAATGAAACTCAAAGTTAATGTAATTGACACAGTTTTTTAAAAAACATAATTCTATAAGTATAATGCAAAGGAAAAATAAAAGACAGTGCCCCATAATCAAACGCTGTACTTCAGTGTGTAGATGGTGGGGTGTGTGTAAACCAGAAGACAGTGAGGTAGTCAGGTGGCTGTTCCTCTGCTCAGGGTCACTGAATACACGGTCTAGGGATGCAGACAGCGCAGGTGTGTGGAGGCAGCAGGACCACGCATGTGTGCTGCATACTGGACGTGGTTTCTGGAACAGCGCATGCGTGGGGGTAAAATTCTGGACACAACCAAGTACTGTCTATGTAGTGGTGACCTTCTGGAAAATTCAGGCTATGTTAGCTGGACGTCAATAGTACTTCCAGTTTTTTTCGTTAAGTGAGTTAGGGTCTAGCCTCAGATCTTCGCAAACCAGCTTTCAGTTCCATTTATGTCCCATGGGTTGTTCCGAAGGTAATGGTGCACCGCCAGACGAGCTCTCCAAGTCAAAAAAAAAGCCCCCATTTGCTCCCACAATGGCTGGCACCAAACTCCCAGTAGAAACTGGCTCACAAAATTCCTGTGTATTTTAACCATCCTCTGAGTAGGAGCCAGCTTCAGGACATCACTGACTTCACAGGACATCTGGTGTCTCTGGACCTGCCCTCTCGTGCCAGCTGGGCTCCCCAAATCATTGTGACATTAGAGAAGTGTCACCATGAATTTCTGAAGCACCCCCTCACAGGCAGTGTCCCGCCCATGGAGAACCAGTGCTTTCCATACTGGTGGTATTTCTGGTGTAAGTGACCTCACCAGTAAGAGCTGCTTTTTCTGGATGGGTGTCTGGTCCTCACTCCCTAGTGTGAAACCTCTGGCTGCCTCTTCTGCTCCAGGGAGAAGCCGACAGTACTGAGCAGTGCCACAGTGCCGGCCACAGCCTGTGGGGCAGGCTGGGCTCTGCCTGCTGATGGCCAGGAGGAAGCCCCTGGTCCCCACACCCCACCGCCCTGATGAGCCCGGGGCAGCCACAGTGTGGTGTCACCCACCCCATCCTGACTCTCAGCTCTCAGGCTTTCCTCAGAGCACAGGAGCACCAGCTGCTCACCCAAGGAAACTCAGACTCTCAGGCTGTCCTCTGAGTCCAGTGCCTCTGTCCACAGCCCAGTCCATCACCTGAAGTTAACAAATGGCAGAGTTACAGAAGTGAGTCTCCTTTTCTCGATACAGAGTTGGCTGTGCAGTTGGCATCCCAAAGGCGGGGGTCGGAGGGGAATTGGCCCTGTGTAATGGACAGCTGGAATCAACCCTCAGTGCCCTCGGGAGATTGAGAGCAAGCTGTGAAGATGGTCCTAAAACTGATGAAAATGTAGGGGGCAGACGCACTCGGTTTTACTAAGGAAGAACATTTGGTTAAAGACCTTTGCCGCCAAGGATTAAAGGTGCTTTTCTCTCCTGCCTCAGTGTGCACTTGGCTCTGAAGTGGCCGTGAGAGTGGGTGGAGAGTTCTTCTTTGACCCTCAGCCTGCGGACGCCTCTAGGAACCTGGTGTTGATCGCAGGGGGAGTCGGAATCAACCCTCTGCTTTCCATCCTGCGGCACTCAGCCGACCTGCACAGAGAACGGGCCGACAAAGGAAGCGGGTATGAGATGGGGACGGTCACACTCTTCTACAGCGCGAAGAACACCAGCGAGCTCCTGTTTAAGGTAAAGGAGAAGCGTGTGCTTCATACCTTGCTCTGAGCCAGCCTAGGTTCTGGTCTTAGGGTCCGCGGAACTTTCTTCTCTCCATTCCGATTTCTCTGCAGCAGGCTTGAAAAGGCTTAATCATGTTCAAATGAGAGTGAACCAACCCATCTTACCCAGGACAACGGAAAAAGCTCGTGTAGAGGAGACTCCCAGGGAAGTGACAGGAGAGGACAGATCTGGTGGGCTTGAACCTGGCAGTGGATGAGCAGAAAAGTCAGCGTGGCCCTGGGGTCCCCTCCAAGAGTCACAAGGCCTGCAAGTGGGCTCGGATGCAGAGAAATCGGGGAGATGGACGGAGTTTGGACCCAGCTGGGTCCAGGAAACCCCCATCAGTGGCATCTGTGGAAACTAAGCACATTTGACAGAGAAGGCTTTCACTCGGGGTTGCTTTGCAGCTGCAAAGATGAACAAAAGAGTAGAAACAGTTTAAAGACACAACTGTGGTCAGTGAAACTGCTGCTTAATTGCCCCCCGCTTGAGAGAAAGAAAAAAGAAAAAAACTCCCGGAGAGTCAGTAATATGCTTGTTAGCATATTCAGATTTCAATTAAAGCCAAATAGCCCTCTACTCTGAATGCTCCGGCCTGCTCGCTGCAAACAATATCTCTCTAAGTAGAGAGCCCAGTGGCAGACGTGCGCAGAATGGGAGTGGAGGTTCGGCGGCCGGTGGTGGGGGAGATGGGGGCTGCACATCTGTTTTGATTTTTTGAAATTGTAGTGTGACCAAATATGTTTGCCATTCCAGAAAAATATCCTCGATTTAGTCAATGAATTTCCCGAGAAGATGGCCTGCAGTTTGCATGTCACGAAACAGACTGCACAAATCAGTGCAGAACTCAAGCCGTACATCACGGGTGAGTCCCCCACAGAGATTTTGACCATCTCCACACCATGATTTTGTGGATCGGCCGGTTGGTGGAGCGTAGCTGCCTTATGGCTGGGAGTTGCTGGCTGGGAATGTCACTACCTGGGGAATTGAGAGATGATTCATCCTGGAAAGAATAAGGAGAGATTAGTTGGATTGACTTATTACATACAGATTTCCTCCTGCCCGTATGAAAAATGTATTTTCTGCATTTTTTTAGGGGACCTTTGCATCATCAGTGTATGTATGCATACAAAGACTTTTACTCCAGCTATGAATGGAATCAGTTCCATTTGCCATTAAGAGAGGTTTCCCTTCTTGGAAGGATTTCTCACAAAACAGTGTATTTACTTTGCTGAAGGCAGTTTTGAATCTGTCCCAGAGATCAGTGCACTCCCGGGCCCTGTGTGGAGAGAGCATTACCGTGAGCTGCGCACGTTGTTTGCCGTGAATTCTGGAACCTGGAGGCGCGCTCTCTGCTGGGGTCTGGCCCGGACGCTGACTCAGAATGCAACCCACTGAGCTCGCGTGGCTGAAAGCAAACACTGTTGCTGAGTTGTGGTTTGTCCTTCCTCATTTCAGTACAAACGTGTCTGGCTTCACTTGGTGTTTTTCCTGTTTTGTTTTGTTTATTTTTTGGTAGAAGGAAGAATCACGGAGAAGGAGTTAAGTGATCATATTTCGAAGGAGACTTTGTTCTACATTTGCGGCCCACCTCCGATGACAGACTTCTTCTCCAAGGAGCTGGAGGACCGCCACGTGCCCCCGGAGCACATTTGCTTTGAGAAGTGGTGGTAGGAGCTGGCGAGGCGGGAAAGGGAGCGTCAGGGCCACTCAGGACAGTGACAGACAGTACGTTCTGTGATTCCTGGCAGGATGAGCTGACCTCTCCCCAGTCTCAGGTTTTTAAGGCTGTGAACTAAGTGACCAGTTGGTGAATAAAAGGAAAACCAGCTGACAGTCTTAAGTGATAAACCTTTTGCAAAAGCCTCATTGTTTGAACTCTTTCTTACCATGTTGACTTGCTTTTATGAGTCACTGATTATCTCAGGCCGTACCTCAAATTGGTCAATACAGATTTTCTTTCCCCTTAAGGAAAAGAAAGACATATCCTTATATTTCATCCTATGAAGATACGGTTTTGTGGGTGACATGTTGGCTATCTTTAAATTATTTGACAGCAATCTGTGTATCTTATGTTGAATAAACTTAAACCTATTCTTAATAATTTTGCTTTGAAATTCTTTCTGTGTAATGTCTCTGTTTACCTTAGTGTGGCCAGCAGGCTTGCTTCTTCTAACCAGCAGAGTTGGGTTTGGAAATAGAACAGTTAGGAGAGCAGCTTTAGGGAATCAAACATCCAGCATATTTGCTTCATGTAAATGAATATCCTCAGTATGTATCCTTTCAGTTTCTCCTCAAATACAGCCTTTTCTGGGGTCGGTGTCTCGGCTGCCTGCCTCCTCACTCCACCCAGGAGGCAGCTTCTCGTTGAGGACAAAGGTGCTGATGGCTGCAGAGTTCCCCCTTGAGTCTGTTTTCAGTGGCCAGGCTGTCTGTAGAAACGTGCTGAGGGTGGGTGAGGGGGTACAGAGCCCGTTCCCAATCCTGCTTCTCTGCCTTTCATTTCGTTCTCTTGCCAGCATTGTGCCTGGCACAGTGCTGCACCCCCATCCCCTGTTGAGTGACTGAGAGAAAGCAACCAGTGTTCAACCCCTGCCTGGCTGGGGTGGGGAGGCAGCCCCTGGGGTGGGCAGAGAGAGTGATGGGGCATCATCCCAGAGCCGCTCCAGTGAAACTGCTCGAAAGTAGACTGTACTTCCTCTCTCCATGGAGATATTCAGAACAAAAGAAATCCTTTCTGGGACCAGCAGTCCGGGCCATGGCGCCTTCCTGGGGAACAGGTCCAGGAAGAAGGGCAGACCAGCTGCAGATGCAGGCACCCACTGTTTGGATTCTGTTCTCTACCTGATGAGCGAGGTCAGGCAGCCCTTTCTCATCTCTGGGACTGCAGGTCTTATAGGGACTTCGGGCTTAAAGACATCAGTGATTCATGGGGCCTGGTGATGGCTGGCCTCCCTGTTCTAGCCTCTGCCCTGTTTTGAACTTTGAACTGTTTCAATCCCAGATGTGAGTTCAGTAGGCGGGAAGAGGGGCGTTGGGCTGATGGGGGCAAGAGAGTCCATTCAGGGCAGTGATCGTCAGCATTTCAGGGGTGAGGGGCGTGTGGGAGGCTCTGGCCTCCATAAGGAGCCCTCAGTCACCTGTTGGCCCCAAAGCGTCCAGGCCGAGGGCTGAGCACTTCTGAGGCGAGGGCCACAGTGTGACGAGATTCAGGGCTGCGGGGACTGTAAAGGGCTCTTCTGCCAACTGGCCGAGGCAGCTGCAGGGAGGATTCACAAAGGAGCAGAGAGAATGGCCACCCCAGGGGTTTCCGTGCCGGGAGCAGAAGTGCAGGGGAGGTCTTCTGGGCATCACAGACGGGAGCTCAGGGAGGTACCACCTATGGCTCCATCCGTCCCACCCCATGGCTTGTCTTCCTGCTGTGGTCACAGAGCAAGAGCCCAGCTCTGCCCACCACCGTGCAGCCCTCTGAACTGCTGAAGGGCCAGGTCATGACCTGGGCTGGGACCGTAGCTCCGTCCAGCTCTGCCATCATGGGTGTTGAGTGCTGAGCAGTGTTTCTGGTCTGCCGTTCAAGACTCCTTTTGCCCTTATTCGCCGGGCTGGTCAAGATCTCCCTGGGCTTCGAGGTGAGTGAACTCCAACCGGGGGGGCCTGGCATTTAGTGTTGGGGCTGAGAGTGCTGATGTGGAAAGCCCTTGAGCCAGATTGCTTAGGTTCAAATCTCAGGTCTGCCACTTACTAGGTCGATGACCTGGAGTGAGTCCCTGCATTATGCTTCGGTTTGTAATTACACACATGTACACACGCGTGTAAATCAGAGGTAGTAAGACTGTCTACCTCATGGGGCTGTTATGAAGTGCTTGGCAGAGCACGGCCTGAGCAGGAGTGTGTTACTAACTTGCTCTTCCTTGTCCTACTGAGACAGGAGTTCCAGAGGCCGGATGGCGCAGGCCTGTCCACCTGCCCGTCACCCTCCCGCGGGTAAGGCGGGGAGGGCTCCGTCTTGTTCAGCGCTCTCCTGGGCACATGGTAGGTTCCTGCTTGATATTTCCTTCATGGGTGAAAGGGCCTGCCCAGAGCTAATGGGCTGTTGTCAAGGCATTCTTAAGCATCCTTCTGGCTGTATCATGAATTCCTGGAAGGATGTTTCTTCTTGCAATGTGAGACTCTTTCACATAGACTGATGTATGAGTCTTAAGCTGATGTATGAGTCTTTCTCAAATGTCGTGTCAGCTTGAGCTCTGACACTCACCAGAAAATAAGTCAAATACCAGTTCTTTTCCAAAGAGGCTGCCAGGAAAGTGGCTGTCTGTGAGGCCCAGAGTGCTTCCTTCCCCATCCCACGTGTCTGCATGTGGGCATGGAGCTCGGAGGTAAGGATGCTCCCTGGGGCACTGGTTCTGGTCAGTAGCCCCTACCTACCCTGAAAGGAACAAATCTTATTGTGAAAGTTTTCAAAGATAGAGCGAAGTAGAGAAGACAGTGAAATTAATTCTTGTACGTCTATCACCAGCTTCACTGATTACCAGCATTCTGCTGTTGAGTTCAGTCTGCCTTCAACTTCTTTGTGTTTTGAGGTCTTGGGAGTATTTTGAAGCCAATCCTAGAAATATCACGTCACCTGTAAATTTTTCAGTAAATAGAGCTGTTTCACCTCTCTGTGACCACAGTACCATCATCACACTCCACACAAGTAACGGTGATTTCTTAATAGCATCTCAGACCTTTCTGCGTTTTTCCCCAACTGCCTCAAAGTCTACACATTGCGTTTGCTTGATATGTCTTTTGAGTTTCTTCTAATCCACAGTCCTCTGTCCTCGCCCCACACACATCTCCATAGATTACACTTTGTTGAAGAAACTGGGTTACCAGTCCTACAGACTTTCCCACGTTGCTAGCCCAGCATGCTCTATCCTCGAGGTGGTATTGGACATGACGCTCCATCCTCTGCATTTCCCGTCAGCTGGTAAGTAGATCTAGAGCTCATTTAGATTCAGAGTCAAGATCTTCTTTTGCAAGACGACACCATTGGTGGTGTTTGTATTTCTATTGCATCCCAAAGAGGCACCTACTCCCTGTCCACTTCTAGTATTTTTAAGATTGATCAGTGGGTCCAGCTTTTTTCAGCCTGATCCCCCCAATATAAATTTCCCTATCACCCTTCACCCAGTTATCTTAGTAGCTGGTGATCATGACCTATACCTACTATTTCACTAAGAATTAATTATCCATCTCTGTCATTGTTTTTTACATTTATTACCTGTGATTCCTCTGAAAAGAACTTTTCCCTCATTGTCTCAGCCCTGAAATCAGTCTGAATAGCAAAGACAGGATCAATGATTGATTCTTTCCCTTTATCAATTAGTCTTAGGAGTTGGTGTCCTAGCAACTTCCAGAGATAACCAGTGAGATGAAAAGTATCATTATGAACTCTTGGCTTTTCGTACCTTGGACTGTTTGCCTCCAGTGTGGTCAGTTCTTCCATGTTCAGCTTGTTGGGGGTTGCCCCGGCTGTGTTCATGGGGGGCCACACTGTGTTATGGGGGTTGGTGAGGTTTGAGGATATTAGAGTTGGAAAAAGTGCTCAAATAAACAGGAGGAAGGAGAAGGAGATGAGTGTGTTGTCCGAAAGCCACATGAAGAAAGTGTCTCCAGCAGGACAGGCGAGTCAGCTGTGTCACACTGAGATATGACAGGAGAGACGGGTTCTGATGAGCAGCCACTGATGGAGCAGCTGGAGGGTCACTGGGGGCCCTGATGAGGGGGTGTTAAGACTGAAACTTTGCAGTGGGCTTGGGGACAACTGGGGGGAAAGAGATTGTAACAAGTGAGTATAAGTCGTTTAAAAGACTTATGCTAAAAAAAATATTAATAGAAAAAATAAAAGACTTACTCTGAAGGGAAGGGAAAAGATGGGATGGTGGCTGGAAAGGGAAGTGAGGTCAAGAGAACTCCATTTTTAAACTCATTTTTTATTGTTATTTAAACTTTATGAAATAATTTTCAGTTTATAGAAGAGTCACAAAAATAGCACAAGGTTTCCATACACACTTTGCCTGGCTCCCCCAAACGACAGTGTCCTTCATCAGTGTGGTATGCTTATCAAAAGTAAGGAGTCAACAGCACAGTTAATTGGCACAGTACTATTAACTAAACCACAGTTCGTTTTCTTAAGATGAGAGAAGTAACATTTTGATTTTATGAAAAAACCCAAAAGAATCACTCAGTGGTGCTCCACCTGAGGAGGTGATGGCTTTTTCTAGAAGATGATAAATTAATTAACTATTCCCAAGGTCTACTATGTGCAGTCACTGTGCTAGAAATTCAAGGTAGGAAAGTAAAAACAAAGGTTATCTTGAGGAACAACTTAAATACTTTGGGAAACTTTTTTATCATTGAAAGTGGAAATGCATTGAATTAAACAACAAATAAAAAAGGTCATACACCATGATCACGTTCATCCCAGGGTCACAAGGATGGTTCAGCATCACAAAATCAATCAGTGTGATACACACATCTACAAGAGAACTGACAGATCACAGGATCATCCCAACAGATGCAGAGAAAGCACTTGATAAAATTCAACATCCATTCATGATAAAACCTTTAATCCAAGCGGGTATAGAGGAAACATAGCTCAACATAACAAAAGCTATTTATAACAAACCTACAGCCAACATAATATTCGATGGTGAAAAGCTGAAAGCTTTCCTGCTAAAGTCTAGAACAAGACAAGGATGCCCCCTCTCACCACTTCTATTCAATATAGTATTGGAAGTCCTAGCCATAGCAGTCAGACAAGGAAAAGAAATAAAAGGGATCCAAAGTGGAAGAGACGCTGTAAAACATTCACTGTATGCGGATGACAGGATACTATACACAGAAAGACTCCACACAAAGCCTACTAGATCTGATAAATTCAGCAACATAGCAGGATACAAGATTACAAAACAGAAATCTGTTGCATTTCTTTACACTCGCAATGAAATATCAGAAAAGGAAAGTAAAAAAAAAATCCCTTTTAAAATTACATTAAAAAGTACTTAGGAAACTTGACCAAGGAGGTGAAAGACTTATACACTGAAACTATAAAACATT